AATTTCCCGCTCTGCAACTTTCAGGATTTTCTTCCTTTTTGTAGTATAGTTAAGGTTACATAATTTAATATTTAATACGCATATTCATGGTAGTTTATGCGTTGTAGCGCGAGATTCAGCCGATGTAACAGAATCTTGAGTTCCGATCGGGTCAGTCACCTTTTTTGCCTTTGCCATTGGTGAATAAGAGTGAGTTTCATTGAAGGTTGCCGGTTACAAACTGTGCCTTCCATATGGCCGTACAATCCTTGCATTGAAAAATACGTCACGCATGGCGTTGTGAAGGAATGATTCAATTAATGGAGTATGTTTGTAAAATGTGGCGAAGATCAATATTTATAATAGAAGCATTTAACGTTTTCTTTACAACATATTCTCCCTGTAAAATATAAATAGGGTATAAAATATTCGAGTCTTCTGCGAAGCCCAGGCGATCACGTACAATGGTAAGCGGAACTCAGGAGACTTAAAAAATTCACTCATGCATTTACTGCATGCCTGCTTAAGAGGATGATATGTGGCCACTGATTAATAACCTGAAATGATAAGATCGATGGTCGCAGGCGAAAACGAGAAATAACTTTGCTCTTGGGGAAAAATAGTTAGCTTATCTGCAGTGAGCACTGTTGTGTTATATTGTTTTGGTGCATCAGTCTATCGTAAACGTGTCAGATAGTGGAAGTTATTGGCAGATTTTCAGTAGTTCTGGGGATGTTTCTGAAGTCTGTAGTATGTAGAGATTCCGCTAATATGTTCTGTACTTTAGCATTTGCAGAAGCAAGAGGCCATAAAATAGAAAGAGACAACTACCTGGAAGCCTTGTACGAAGCAGAGAAACAGTACGTTTTGTGAAAACTTATCAGTGAATTAAATTTGCATAATAAAAATAAAATATGACAGTGTTTTCGCAAATTACTGTTTCAGTGTGTTAGCTGGATTTTGGATTCAACTGTAAACTAGAATGTCATGCCATCGTTGGCATATGGGAGAATAGTTCAAAACAAGTCAAGAACGACGAATGAGAAGGCCATGACTATTATAAATATTTACACAGCTGAGTGAGTTCTGACATATGCGAGATTTTCGCGTTTTCCGTTAATGAGGGAACGTGTTTTTCAACCGTAATTAATTAAGCACAGGATCACAGCTGAAACTTAGACCAACTGAAGGGTTTTCATTCTTTCTACCACTTATTGCTTAATTACTTACTTGCGTAACCTCATATGGATATCGGTGAAGTAAATTGTTTTATCCGCAAATTGTTTGAAAGGGCAAGCGATTCGTTTTTCTTTAACGAGAAGGAATCACAGATTTGGTGTTTTCTGTCACTTGCCTTATTTTGCTTCAGTGGCACGATATTTTAATCAGAAAATGATATTCCAAAAACTTTTCACTCAGACTTTTGTTTTCTTGCTAAAGGTTAGATACTAAGGTGAGTTCATAAAGGTGAGAGTTTGGCGTCGATGATGTTTCTTTTGGTTATTTGCTTTTTCGGTCAGTCTCATCCGTATTTGCACATGCTTTGAGGGTTTATGGGCCTCTACCATATGTATGGTGTTCTCGACTTATATAATTTGCTCTGTTTCAAGTTGCCGGTTTTTTCGTCCTTTCCCTTTGCTTTTAAAACATTTAAATATTTTTATGACGAACTTCTCGTTGTTTCATGCCCTCACTGCCAACCGCTTGAATTACGCGATAGTGCAGATAATTGCCATTTTCAGTCTGCTTAAACAGTATAAATAGCAGCTTTGCAGAGCGCTATTAAGGGGTCTTTATCGCGAACCTTGCCAGTTAACTATGTCTTACTTAGCGTCATCCGCTCATATCTTTAAAAAGTTAGATGATCAGCAGCGGCTCATGGATAGCATCTACATGCCACCACCTTACGCAT